AATTTTTTAAAAATCTAATTTCGGCATAAATTTAGGCCAAAATGTATTCTGCTCCGTGTCTTTTGCTAAACAAAGTCCCAGTACGTGTAAATTAATTGTTTTATGTGAAAGGTATAGCGGTTTCAAATGGCGGTATAGATACTGGAATTTAAAAAAAAAAAAAAAAAATATTTTGACCAGTAATGGAGGCGATCAGCGACTTACAGCGGGACTGCAGAGGGCATTCTGACACTGGGGGCGGGGGAACAGACTTGGTGTCACTGACATCCTCAGTGACACCAATACAGTGATCAGTGCTAAATAAAAAGCACTGACACTGTACTAATGGCACTGGGCATGAAGGGGTTAACATGAGGGGTGATCAAAGGGTTAACTGTGTGCCGTTTTACATGGGGCTGTGTGGCTGTGCTTCACTGTAATCACACTGCTTTGGATGGCTGTGCTAAAGCAGTGTACACGAGCTGATGGAGGAGAACTGTATTGTTTACATACAGTTCTCCTCCCCGTCAGAGAACCTCGGCAATCACCAAGCGCCGGCTGGGACCCGGTGATTGACAGTCGCAAATAGTGGTGCGGGTAGGGCAAAATCACATACACACACACACACGTGATTTTGCGCACTCCTGCCGCCCAGTATTTCAGCTATAGGGCGGACGGGAAGCAGTTAATCTGAACCGCAGTCCTAAGTAGAATGAAGTGACATCCCAATGTGGAAGAGACCTCTGAAATCCTTCACCACTATGCACTCACCGGAACGAAGGTAAAACAGGCTTGGAATAAAAGGTCCTCCAAGGTATGTATAGCTCCTCCTCTCAGGGCTGGCACGTGGCCTTCAGTAGTGGGTCCTAAAAAAAGGGCTGACCACACAGAGCCCAAGATGGAGGTATATAGCGTAGTATTTATTAAAATTTGTTACAAATACACTCCACATGGAATAAAGAAAACTGCGGCCGCACCTACAAAGATGGGCGCCGGACCAAAAACATGGACTTGGCGGCGTGTCGTCAGCACGTAGACTCCTCCCTGACGCGTTTCGGGCACATTCTCAAAAGGGACCCACCTCCAAGTGTAGTCCTTTTAATAAATACTAAACTATATACATCCATTATGGATTTCAAGTAATAATTTAATATTTAAAATGCAACAATTGAACAATTTAATTATGGACTATAAACCTCCATCTTGGGCTCTGTGTGGTGAGCTTCTTTTTTTTTTTTTAGGTGAGCCCTTTTTTTTTTTAGGATAGGAAGAATCAATGAACTACCACAGAGCTCCACCTCGCCGTCATAGTCCATTGACAACTACAAGCCGACAGCTGCTAAGGTTGGGACATGTAGTTTCTCATTCACAGAATACTGTGAATGAGTGAAGCAGCCGGGTGGGAGGAGCCCCGCACAGCCACTTTTTTTTTTTTAAACTTTGACAGCTAGCGGGGGAAGAAGACCCCTGCCCCACTAGCTGTCAAAGCGGGGGACTGGGGGGGGGGGGGGGCAGGTCATTTCATAACATGTTACATCCTGAATAAGTGTAACATGTTAAGAAGGGTGAACTTATCCTTTAGTCTCAGTGCACACGCCCTGAAAGTCACGCCACTTGCAGCAACTTTCAGGGAATGCTGGGTAATCTTCCTGTAATATCGGATCCAAATCGCATCAATATAGATGAGGATCCGACTTAGAGGCGACTTCCATTAAAGTCTATGGGCACAAGTCGGATAGAAGTCACCTTGAAGTACAGGAACCTTTTCAAAGTCGGAGCGTTTTCAGTAGTGCTACTTAAGACCTCTCTCATTGACTAACATGGGATTTCACATGTCATGCGACTTTGGGTCTCACAAGTCGGATCCCAAGTCCCGGCAGTGTGAACCGAGCCTTACAACTTTTAGCAGGTTTTTATTTGTGCCTCCATGAGGTCTCCTCACTTCTGCTTTCAGATGACAGGTAACACAGAAGAGGAAGTAGGGAGAAATCTCCTCTTCTATGTGCTACTCAATGTGTTTGCACCGGGCAGACCTGACACTAGGAGGATTCCACCAGCAGTTCCCAAACATCTCTGCGATGTCATTACGGTGTTCAAGTAATAATTTAGTATCTAAAATGCAACAATTGAAGGATTTCATTATGGAATTCATGTAATTGTTTTAATAAAAAGGAGATTAACTAGAGGATTAGATTTCTTCCCTGAGGCGAGGGTTCATTTCACACTCAGCCGGGGTTCACTATGCTTCATGTGATATCCTCAATATGGAAGGAACATTATGTATTACAGGGACTTATATAGCACCGACAATTTACGCAGCACTTTACATATATATTGTACATTCACATCAGTCCCTAACCCTCAAGGGGTGTACAATCTAAGGTCCCTAACTCACATTCATACATACACATACTAGGGACAATTTAGACAGGAGCCAATTCACCTACCAGCATGTGTTTGGGAGGGGTACCCACAGGCACAGGGAGAACATGATCTCCAGGCAGGTGGTGCCGTGGTTGGGATTTGAACTGATGACCCGAGTACTGCCAGGCAGAAGTGCTAACCACTTAGCCACTGTGCTGCCCTAACATGAGACAGGATTCAAAAGGTGGACTATGCCTTTACAATCCTTAGATGTGGTGGCTACATTTTTCTTTTGTCACCTTTATCCTCACCTGGTGATCCTGCCGGTAACACACTTCCTATTCTGTATATCAAACACAATTCCTGGCCTAGGGTGACAACACTGCCCATCTATAGGTGCAGTACAGAGAGCGTTGTCACCCTAGGAAATACAGAATCCCACCAGCCCCCAACCCTCTTCTGTTGTCCAAACACAATTCCTGGCCTAGGGTGACAACACTGCCCATCTATAGGTACAGTACAGAGAGCGTTGTCACCTTAGGAAATACAGAACCCCACCAGCCCCCTCCTCCCCCTATCCTCTCCTGTAGTTCAAACACAATTCCTGGCCTAGGGTGACAACACTGCCCATCTATAGGTACAGTACAGAGAGCGTTGTTACCCTAGGAAATACAAAACCCCGCCAAACCCCTCCTGCCAAACCTCTTCTGTAGTCCAAACACAATGCCTGGTTTAGGGTGACAACACTGCCTATCTATAGGTACAGTACAGAGCGTGTTATCACCCTAGAACAGGGGTCTCTAAACTTTCCAAACAAAAGGGCCAGTTTACTGTCCTTCAGACTTTAGGAGGGCCAGGCTATGGCCATTGGGGGCAGAAAGGGTCCCAACATCAGTTGAAAGAAAAAAAAAACCAAAATGCCCCAACGCTGGTGTCATTGGGAGGAATTGTGCCTCATCATTGGGCCCTATCATTGGGTGTCATTGGGAGGAATTGTGCCTCATCATTGGGCCCTATCATTGGGAGGAATTGTGCCTCATCATTGGGCCCTATCATTGGGTGTCATTGGGAGGAATTGTGCCTCATCATTGGGCCCTATCATTGGGTGTCATTGGGAGGAATTGTGCCTCATCATTGGGCCCTATCATTGGGTGTCATTGGGAGGAATTGTGCTTCATCATTGGTATCATTGGGCCCCAACAGTGGTGTCATTGGGAGGAGGAATTGTGCCTTATCGTTTATGTTATTTGGAGGAACTGTGCCTCATCATTGGGCCCCCATCCCCCAACATTGGTGTCATGTGGAGGAACTGTGCCTCATCATTGGTGTCATTGGGAGGAATTGTGCCTCATCATTGGATCCTATCATTGGGAGGAATTGTGCTTCATCACTGGTATCATTGGGCTCCAACATTGGGGTCATTGAGAGGAATTGTACCCCATCATTGGACCCTATCATTGGGTGTCATTGGGAGGAATTGTGCTTCATCATTGGTATCATTGGGCCCCAACAGTGGTGTCATTGGGAGGAATTGTGCCTTATCGTTGATGTTATTTGGAGGAACTGTGCCTCATCATTGGTGTCATTGGGCCCCATCATTGGGAGAAATTGGGCCCCATCGTTGACTGCATTTGGAGGAACTGTGCCTCATCATTGGTGTCATTTGGAAGAATTGTGCCTCATCATTGGACCCTATCATTGGGAGGAATTGTGCTTCATCACTGGTACCATTGGGCCCCAACATTGGTGTCATTTGGAGGAACTGTGCCTCATCATTGGTGTCATTGGGAGAAATTGTGCCCCTTCATTTGTCAGTGGAGGGAATGATGCCTCATTGTTAGGATCAAGGATCAGTGGATGAAATAGTGCCCCAAGGGCCAGATAAAAGCAAAGGGCCACATCTGGAGACCACTGTCCTAGAAAATGAAGTGTGTTACTGGCGGGATCACCAAGTGGAAAAAAATTTAAAAAAATTTAAAAAAAGAGAGAAAAATGCAGCCAGTATGTCTAAGGAACAAGTGATAAGATTCCAGCACAGGCAGCAGCCAGCTCACTGGATTTCTGGCAGGACCAAAAAACTTTTTTTTTTTGGCGCACTTGTCAGACAGATATAATAAAATGTTTTCAATGGTAAATTTAACACAGAAAAGGGAAAAGCAATGAAATCTCTGGCTACAGTCTACATGCACTTGAAGGATCATACCATCCTCTGGCCAGCTGTTTACTCCCCAGCAGCTGCTGCCTGTCCTGCAGGAATGGTGGGACTCACAGTTGCTGAGCAGCTGGAAAGCCACAGGTTGCCTAACACTGCACAGCCAGGAAGCACGCATTCTGCAGCATTAGGAGCACACTGTGAGCGGCAGAACTCTCCAAGGGGGCGATGCAAAGATCAATAGTGAGCGCCTACGGTGTAAATAGGCAGCAAGCTATGTAAGACGTGCCCAAATAAAGACCACGTTATCCCCCTCTAATCAAATGGTTTCTCCCATTCTCCAGTACTAAACAGTCACGATGGAACATACCAACAGCTGCTAGAAGAAGGAATAGGGGAGCCGTGGACTGTACCATTACGGTAAAAAGAGTGGCGTAGTGACGAGGCTGTATTAGAAGCAGAAGACTGCAAGGGTGATCGGGCAGTGGCTGGGGAACCCTGTTACCTGGTCTGCCAGATCCTCAGCAGCTCCCATCAGGTCCCTGGGCGCCATCTCCTCCTGTGTCGCCCCTCAGTGAGCCCGTCCACCTAGAAATCAGACAAATGCAGTGAGTACCGGGGGGCGTGACTTCCCGTCCTTACGTTAATGGCTAGCTGCCATTGGCCAAAAGCGGGAGGCTAAGGAAATCGCGTCTTCTCTTCCGCCAATGTCTGCGCCCCAGCTCACGCTTCATTGAAGTGTTTACTATGAGAGGAGACTGCGGCAGGCGCGGCGCGGCCATCTTGGGTAAGGGCGATTTGCCCACACTGTCAACGTGGACTCGGGAATAAATGTCATGATGAGTGTGAGTCAGAGAGCAGAACAGAGGCAGGGGGCAGGGTGGTGAGAGGGGGAGGATCGCATACCACGACATGGCCATAGGTGACTGTGTCTGCATCAGTGTGGGGGACTACTGTCTACTTAAAGGGACATCCTTTACTGTCATTGCAGATTCCCATTCATCGTCCTCACCAGGGGCGGACTGACAACTCATGGGGCCCCCGGGCAATAGGGGATCATGGGGCCCCTGTGTCCTTGCCCAAACGCAACAAAGCCTATGAAAAAGGTACCGGGGGCATCTCATGGGGCCCCCTACTGACCCCGGGCCCTCGGGCAGTGCCTGAGTTTCCAAATGGCCCCTGGTCCTCACCATCAGCTCCATCTGGGAGGATAGAATGGCTGCCAGTATTTATATTGGAATTAAAGTGAAGCTGTCACAGCCGACGAATGTCCGCCCCCTCCCCCCCTGCCCTGGTGTCATGCCCTCTATTATAAAATGGAAGAAATAATCCGCGTATTGCACAGCCCGCTTCTACCTTCTAGGACCCATGTATGTGCAGGAGGTGCGTCATGTCACACATGTTCATGTACGTTATGTCACGCGTGTGCCCAACCCCTGCCTTTCCCCCCCCCCCCATTCCCGATCTCACACCGTGCTGTCACTTACATAACAATGCCACTCTCAGCTGCGCCCAGCACAAAGATTCTCCAGCTCGCGGGACCACAATTTAGATGCCAGCGGCCCAACAGCGATTGTCACTGGGTTACGTTAACCACTTGCTTACAGGGCACTTCCACCCCCTTCCTGCCCAGGCCAGTTGTCACCTTTCTGTGCTGTCGCACTTTGGATGACAATTGCACGGTCATGCAACACTGTACCCATATGATATTTGTACCATTTTGTTTTCACACAAATAGAGCTTTCCTTTGGTGGTATTTAATCACCTCTGGGGGTTTTATTATTTTTGCTAAATAAACAAAAAAAGACAAGAAAATTAAAAAAAAAAAACCCTTTTCTTCGTTTCTGTTATACAGTTTTGCAAACAGGTAATTTTTCTCCTTTACTGATGTGCGCTGCTGAGGCTGCACTGATGGGCACAGATGAGGCAGCATTGATATGTGGCACTGATAGGCAGCACTGATGAGGTGGCATTGATACACAGCACTGATGGCCACTGATAAGCAGCACTGATGAGGCGACATTGATAGGCGGCACTGATGGGCACTGATGAGGCAGCATTGATAGGCAGCACTGATAGCACTGATGAGGCAACACTGATAGGCGGCACTGATGGGCACTGATAGGCTGCACTGATGGGCACTGATGAGGCAGCATTGACAGGCAGCACTGATGGGAACTGATGAGGCTGCGCTGATAGACAACACTGATGAGGCGACATTAATAGGCAGCACTGATGGGCACTGATAGGCTGCACTGATGGGCACTGATGAGGCAGCATTGATAGGCTGCACTGATGGGAACTGATGAGGCTGCGCTGATAGACAGCACTGATGAGGCACTGGTGGGCATTGATGAGGAGGCACTGACTGGCAGCACTGATGGGCACTTTTGGGGCTGAACTGATTATCAGTGTAGATGTCTCCTTTCACACTTGCCGGGCCGGGTTATCAGTGGTACTTTCCTCAAGCAGTGACAGCGTGAGGAAAGCACTGGCGATAACTGGCAAGTGTGTTTACATCGTGATCAGCTGTGACTGGACACAGCTGATCATGTGGTAAGAGACTGCTGTGATTGGCCCTTTACAATGTCATCAATGTCATGTGATCAGCCATGTCCAAAGGACACACTGCTCACAGAGAGCACTGGGTGAGCGCCGGGGGCGCGGTTCTGTTAGGACGTCATATGTCGCCCTCCCAGAAATGGATGATCACGTTGTAGCTGTCATCCCACTGTAGCATGGTCAACAAGTGGTTAATTAAGCAATTAACTCTTCCAGAGCTGCAACACCACCTTTTGGCTGAGAAGGCGGAAACGTGCAATCTTCGCAATAACACATATGAAAAATAAATGTCTGTACACACCGTGTCACCATACACAGGTATACTCAGAGATCTGTCCTGTACAGTAGGACTCTTCCAGAGATAGGGATTCTTTTAGTTTGCATTAAAAGCCTTAGTGCCCATTCACATACATGCGGATTGGATGTGGTTTGAACCGCATCCAATCCACATGACATGTGAATAACATTGCTTCCTGTGGTGCCTGTTCACATATGTCCAGTGCACTGGCCTGGCGGATTCAGTGCAGTCTGAAAAAGAGTCCTTTTCGATTTTTGAGCAGTGCGGTCAGGTTCAGGTGCGGATTACAGGCTATTGACTTCTATGGGAACCGTTTCTAAACCTGACATGTGTGAACAGGATAAAATCCTGATCTAATCCTGTCCTGAACCTGATGTAAACCTGACATGAACTGCGGAACAAATACTGTGTCAATTAGCTGTGAAACCTGAGCTTCAATCCGCACCACACGTGTGAACCAGCGCTAAGAGACAATTTTAACACTTTTCAAAATAGGATTTAAGGTAAAAATGGTCGAAATAAAAAATTTGCTGAAAAAAAGTGTTACAAAAAATAAAGAGACAATAAAGCAACAAAGAAAATGAAATAGATCCTCCTGCTCTTATATGGGTGAACTTGCTACAAGCTGCTATCCCTCAACCTATACCATAAGTGAATAAACAAGTGTAAATAGTGAAGCGCTAGAAATGAATATGATATCAACATAAACTATACAGTGTACTGTTAAGATATAAAATATTATAATATTATGACTGTAGTAATAATAAGTGACAACCTAATAAATAAACACTCTGTGCTCTGATCACATTTGGATCCAATAAAGTGCAATTTTGGTGATAACCACAATGTATACTTGTGGCGACACTCCGTGATCTATTTGAATCCTTATCAGGATATATTTGGTGATTAGACAATCGTGGTCCCTTATATAAAGGGAAAATATAATAGTGTTTTGGTGCCTTATAAACACTAAATAAAACTAATAAATAATATTCAGTGCTTTCTTAAAGAGAAAAATAAACTAACAAAATACCCAAAAATGAAGTGTAAATAACAAAATCCTCCCAAAAAGTCCAATGAACATATATACGTGATTCTCCCAAAGCAAAACAATCATGCAGGTGATGAAGTGAACTGGTGATCTTCACTCTGGTGCCAAATCCTCAAAACAGCAGAAATACCCACTCACCTCCACACCTTGACCCTAGGGGCCAACACACTATTAGGATCACCTCAATCGATCCTTAAGGGTACTTTTTCACCACAGGGACAGATGTCATATATATTATCTTTAACGTAGTGACTCTTACTCCTCTCAGATTCCTTAAAGGCAATAGTACTGCAATACAGCTCACTCTCCACCTTCTCCACTCAGGATCATGTTAATGAGATATAACACTAACCTTGGCCTACTCATGCACTCTCACGGCTTCAACTACCACCTCTATGCCGACGACACACAAATCTATCTCCCAACCCCCCACCTCACCCCCTCGGTCTCCGCCCGAATCACACACCTACTGAGCGACATATCAGACTGGATGTCGCTCCACTTCCTTAAACTGAACCTCTCCAAAACCGAGTTTCTTGTCTTCCCCCCAGCCCGGACACCACCCCCCCCATTGACTTCTCCATCACATCCAACAACACCACCATCAAACCCGCCCCGCAGGCCAGAGTACTGGGTGTCATTGTGGACTCCAACCTATCCTTCCAGCCCCAAGTCCAATCTTTAACAAAACTCATGCAGACTCCACCTCCGCAACATCGCCAAAATCCGCACGTTCCTAACTCCAGAAACCACTAAACAGCTCATCCACTCCCTCATCATATCACGACTCGACTACTGCAACTCCCTCCTCACTGGCCTGCCTTGCCACAGGCTATCCCCACTTCAGTCGATCCTGAATACGGCTGCCAGACTCATTCACCTTTCCAACCGCTCCATCTCCACCACCCCCCTCTGCCAATCCCTCCACTGGCTTCCGATTGCGCAACGGATCAAATTCAAAATCCTAACAATGACGTACAAAGCTGTCCACCATACTGCCCCGAACTACATCACTGACCTAATATCCAAATACCACCCAAAACGCACACTCCGCTCCTCACAAGACCTCCTTCTCTCTAGTTCCCTGGTCTCCTCCTCCCATGCCCACCTCCAGGACTTCTCCAGGGATTCCCCATCCTCTGGAACTCCCTGCCCCAACCCATCAGATTATCACCTACTCTCCTCTCATTTAGGCGCACCCTGAAAACCCATCTCTTCAGGGAAGCCTACCCCACCCCCTGCTAACCTGCCGACCTCCTCCACTCTTCCTACCACTCCATTCCCCACAGCTATCTCCTCCTGTGCCACCATCCCCTCCCTCCTAGATTGTAAGCTCGAAAGAGCAGGGCCCTCAATCCCCTCATGTTTTGCATTGTATTGGTATTGTTCTGTCACATGTTCTGTCCCCCTTTATAATGTACAGCGCTGAGCGAACTATTGGCGCTTTATAAATACTGTATAATAATAATAATAATATAAAGAACAATATCCTCTATAGTGCAATAATGCTTTATTACTCAATGCAAAATAGTAGCCAATAGCTCACTCACATGTATTCCCATGAAAAAAACGCTTTTTCACCACAAGCTATGGGTGTACTGCATGGGCTGGGTCTACCAATATGGCCTCTACGCCCGGAAAT